AAAAGAAAACAGAAGTGATTAGAGAAGTAAAAACTATAGAAATAAAGTACAAGATAGAAGAAATGTAATAACCAAAGACCAGAGTCAAGAAAATACAAACATGGAAAAGATAGTTCAAAGGGGGCCACAAGAAAGAGCCTTATATGTTGAAAACATGTTAGGCTAATATTAGAAAAATTAGAAAGACTAGAGAAGAACAGAGGGAAAAATAGAATAGAACAACCCAACTGCTCCTAAGGGCATCACAGTTGAATTAATAAATATAGACAAGGAGAATAAGAGTTCTTACAAAATAAGAAAAAAATTTTTAAAGAAAGAAGAGAAAAAACTTCTTGTCAAGAAGAAAGCAGAAATGTTAGAGAGAGAAAAAAGTTAAAAATATGAAAATAGAACAGAAATCATTAAAAGAAAAGTGAAAAAAAAGAAAAAAAAATAAACCTAATATGTCATAATATTAATAAACTCAAACCAAAGGTTGAAAATTGGAAAATCTATTTAGCTAAGCAAAAAAAGAAGAAATTGCAATAATGAGAATTACAAAGACAACCCTTATAAAAAAAGAAAAAAAGTTCTTAATATATGTAATAGGCAAAAGATATATAGGTTTTTGAACAAATGCAGCTAAAGATAAGAAAAAAGATTCAGGCATTAGAATTGTAATTGATAAACAATGAGAAAAACATATAGGTGCAGTTAAAAAAATAAGTAAATATATAATGAAGATTATACTATACTTTATACAATTAGAATTAATTGTAATTAAAGCATATATACTACCAAATAATAAGGTAATAGAGAGAAACATTTAACAAAAATTGTAGAAACAGTCTTAAAAAGGAAAAGACAAATACAAATCATTATAATGAGTGATTTTAATTACACAATAGACAATATTTTAGACAGATAACATCTACAAACAACAAACTACAAAATGCTGTCAATCTTCAATTAGATGAAAAAACAAGACTTTAAAGTCATATATTATATATTTATATGCTTCTGTAGATTACAGAGTTTTTGTCTTTAGTTAGAATTGAACTATTGACCTTATTTGTAAAGAAAGAGATGCCTAATCTACTAGGCTATAGAACCTCATCTCTTAGAAAGTATATTGCTAAAATTAATTGTTAAAATTTTATTATAAAAATTAATTTTTAAAAAAAAGATGCAAGCAAATTTGCATGCAATACAATTTAAGGAATAGTGTGTTGCATAAAACTAAGTTAGTATATATAAGATATAAAGGCTTTAGTAAGTTTTCTGTTGAGGATAAAGTAGTTTTAAGAGTACTAACTAGCATTGAGAACTTGAATAAGTGTAGCCTTGAAGATGTTCTCATAATACAAAGAAAATTGTATATATAGAAGGTTTAAATAGCAAGACCTCTAGTTGGCTTGCAGATAGACATCTAGTGTAAAACTTATATAGCAATAAATAAGTAAACTACTTAAATTAGACATCAAAAGTGCACATGTAGCTAGTTGTAACCTTCAATATAAAGAAGCTCTTAAAGACAATTCATGTCCTATATACTTGAATAAATATGTTACATTCCAAAGATAAGAACTTTAAAAAAAAATATATATATATAACTTTATTACAACATCAAAAAATATTAAGAGATTAGTATTCTTACTGATTTTATATAATATAAGACTTAATAACTATATCTATAAACCTATTCTTAATATTTTTGCATTGCAATCTATATATATTGACAAATTAAACTTTTAATAAAAGAGGCTAAATAATTATAAATAATTTAATTTTTAAAAAAATTTATAATTCTTTTAACAAGAACCTTAAAACTTAATATTATATATTATTATTCAATAATATTCTAGTTGCTTGTAAAGAATGCAAATTAAGCAACACATCATATTATACCAAATATTGCTATTTTAATATAACAAACCTTTTTATGATCTTCAAGTAAATTACAAAAAAAGAATCTATAACTTAAAAAATTTTAAAAAAGTTCTAATTCTAACTTCACCAATAATGTTACAAATTTACAACTAATTAATATATTCAACTCTGACTTGTTTTTTATGCTTTTTTTATAAACTTACCAATTAATACAAAATCTATAATATTTTATATGACAAATGAATGACAAAATATAGAAAATAATTTTTGAATAATAATAAAGTGTTACTCTTAACACTCTTATTTAACTTTTGGCTATTTTATCTAAATATATTGATAATTATATTAAACTTCATACTTATCTTTTTAAGATTCTGCATCTTAATAAAATTATATACTAATAATTTCTTTTTTGTTAATTTGATTAACCTTATATATTCTATTTAATTATATAATTATTTGATATTAGACAAATAATAACACATTATTTTTCTTTTAATACTAAAAACTTTAATATATAATAATATACTTATAATAATTTTTGACAAAGACCTTCAAATTCAAGAAATTCTAAGTATTATTTTTCTACTAAACTCTGTATTTCAAAAGTTTATATATAATTATTTTATTTCAAAACTCTTTAAAAATCTTTATATCCATCTGGTTAAAACTAAACTAAAACAAGTACACCAAATTACAAACTGTTTGGTATAGTTTAATTAACAACAAATCTCAATCTAGTATACTTCTCAAAACAATATTAATTGGTTGCTAATTTTACAATATACAGTATACTATATAAAGACAAATTTCTAATTTTAGTAACTGATTCAGCTTTTCAGTACTAAAAAAAACTTTAAAATCAAATTAACATTTGAAAAGTTATCTACTCATCTTTTTTTTCATTAAAAAAATATTACAAAACATCTAAAATATCTTTGTTCAAGATGTTATAATGCTTCTAATATATTTTTAAAACTGTCTGGATCTTACAATTTTAATAAAATATACAGTATACAAAACCTCAGACAAGTTAGAAATGCCTTACTATAACACAAATAATTTCATTTAAGTTTTCATTTACAATCACATCAACAAATAAATATCACCAGAACTAATAACTAATAACACTTTAATACTATTTGAAAACAATAAATACAAACATAAACATGCTTTCTTATTTATCACAATATCATTTCTGCAATATATAAAACAATTTGATTTACTTCTAGAATAATAAAACATAAATCTGCTTTTTCAGTTCCATAACTGTTATAATTACCAATATTAGTCAAAACTATACCAATCTTATGTTCTTTACTAAATAAAAAGATACAATACTATGTTATGTATAGACAATCTTTCTTTTATTAACTTATCAAAGATTAGAGGTTTACTGACCATTCTAGCAAAGATTAAAGTAACTCTTATCTTCATCATCCTAGTATAGTTTCTTCTTCATGTATCTTATATATATATATAACTAATTAATTAATAAAAAAGATAGAGGATAGATCTCTCTTTTTTTTTTTAAAAAAAAAAACATATTTGTTTCACTAACAGTATAAGATAATTAGTATTAGGCTAACAAAACCAATTCAACTATTTGATCAGACCATAATTAAATTTGTTTGATTGGTCAAAATTTGTTAATTTGATTCATATTGTTAGACTATTTGACTAATTTGACCAGATTGACCAATGAAATTTAGTCGATACTAATTTGACCAACACTGAAGATAAGGTATTAGAATATTTCCTTCATTTATTGGTTAACTTCATGCTACGTTGCATGTGTTTAATTTGTCTCAAAAACAATTTGAACGTTTATTGTATTGTATGTGATTAAATAAACATAATTTTTTTAAGGAATAAGTCAAACGCGTTGTAAATACTGAAATACCATAAAGATAAATTTCGGTTAAACTTCGGGTTTCGGCAGGGGTTTTAGAATCAGCACAAGTTTCGAATCATGGTTCACAGAATTGTACTTCAACATATATAAGTGGCGCCGAAGAAAAACTAACCTTCGGCTTTCTGGTAAAAAATTGACCGAATGTTTGTTTGGCCTATTCGATAAGTTTTGTATATACCTTTGCTAAATGATAATAATGATATGAGCGCTGTACAGTATATATGTGACCGAAGTTTTTGACAGTTTTGACGAAACCGAAGATCCATGACTTGAGATCTAATTGTTACAATATCATATTGAGAGTAATAATCAACTTTACAATTATAATTTGGGATATTTAAATAAAGGTAAATTCACCGCATTGAATATTCTAATTGCACTACCATCGCCATTACATATATTTCGTTTATTTTCATTTCAACGGCCAAATTTTGCAACGGCATTTGTTAAAATAATAATAATTTTTACATTTACATTGTGTATACTAGCATTCTGCTTTAGTATTGCTTCTTTGATGGATATGGTGTTACAGGGTGAAAAGCCTATAATAATTTACTACATGCAATACTCAATATATGATCTAATTCGGGTATTTAATCGATAATGAAAAAAAGAAATGTAGTACGTACGTAGTTTCTTTCTTATTTGATGTCAGGTTTATAACGTCTTGCATAAAAGAATACATGAATACTATACTCTAGTCATTGTTCAATTTGGCATGAATCAATCTATAGTTATAAACAGATCAACTCTAACCTAAATCGGATTGTTGGAAAATCTTTAAAATGTTTATATGGTTAAAATTAATACGTATACGTATGCTTAAGATTTTATTAAGAACTTAAATGTATACAAATTTTATCTGTATTACAATTTAAGAAATAAATATTTATCGACACAATAGTACAAAAAAAATGTTTGATCGATCTTAGGTTTATTAACTCTAACGTTGATGAAACACGAATTTGATAAACCATGTGCATGCACAGGCATAACAACTAAGCACCATGATATTTTCAAAGAAATTCAATGCTTTTGGTATAATTCAATTAAATAAACATTTTAAAATATTGGCAATTTATTAATTATAACGATTTAAATTATATACATCCATAAATAGTAAAAAAAGCAATTGTCCGATACTGGTTCGCTACCTGCAATCAATATTCGTAGACACATGATCAATAAAGTTATAAAGGTTTCGTTATATTACAGCATGCATGTAATTAATGGTATGCGGAATGAGCCCGTAAAAGCTGACAACTAAAACAAAGCATTGAGAGATTTTTTTTTTCATAATATATATAATAACTCACACACTTTAACGAGAAAAATTTCATATAACAACAAGCAACCCACCGTGATTATGAATTCTTGTCACTTCACATTTTTGCTATTCATCTGCATATTAACTTTAGTTAATGCCAGTTTTTTACCGATCACTATTCTAGATGGTCCTAGTAAATCGTATAAAGCGCCAACACCATCGTCTTCAAATGGAATTAGTAAGCTTGATGACGCTGAAATACAAAATCTCTCTCGATTTGTTACCTACTCGGCAGCTTCCTATTGTCAAAACTCATTTGATTGGACATGCGGACAATATTGTGATGGCATTCCTAAAACAGAAGTTATAAAGACTTTTACAACTAAACCTGACGAATGGGTAGAAATTTTTGGAGGTAAATAATGAAGCAGGGTTTGTAATGCATGATGCAAATAACTAAACTGAATAAAATATCTTTTTAGGGAACGCTACAGCTTATGCGATACTTACCGCTAACCATCAATATCAAGAGATCGTCTTAACCTTTCGAGGAACCGATAATGTTGGTAATACTGTCGAAGATTTTAAAGTGGTTCAGATACCATATGGATTTGATTCTACTACTCTCCCCACTGAGTCACAAGTAGGAGCTCTTGTCCATTTAGGATTTTACAAAACTTTCCTTAGCTTTCAACAACAAATTCGAGATGAAATATCCATGACATATAATAAATACCCTGATTATAAATATGTTGTTACTGGTCACAGTTTAGGAGGAGGTCTGTGAATAATCCTAAGATTTTTTTAATTTATAATTACTTTACACTTATTAAGTATTTAATTTAAATAGCGTTGGCATTGCTTGCCGCTCTCGACATCAAACAATTCATTGGATGCAAAATATGTCTATACACCTACGGTGAACCTCGGTGTGGGAATTCTATTTTTGCTTCATTTGCGGATGAAACTTTGGTAAATTTTAAAAGGAAAAAAGAAAAATGAAACCTTCTAAATAATAAATTTTAATTAAATCATCAATTTTCGTATTTAGGATATCGTTTATAGAGTTGTTAATCAAGCCGATAAAGTGCCTCATTTGATCCCGAAGGTTAATTATCAACACCATAAAGGTGAAGTCTGGATTGCTAATACTACTGATAACGAAGCGGTCAAATGTTCAGGCGATGAGAACAAAGTAAAGTTTTTTTTTTTTTAAAAAAAAAAGAAATTTATGTACATTTTTTCAAATAGTATAATTTGCACTAATTTCAATTTAATTTTTCTGATATTCATAGCTCTGTTCTGATTCTGTTAAATCTGCCGATTGGAATTCTGTAGATCACGATGGTCCATATTGGGGTGTTCTTATAAATAAAGATTTATGTCAATAAAATTTTATAGAGAAAACTTGTATAGATAACAACAGAACAATAGAATATTTTAATGTATTTCTATATATAAAATTTATTATAATTATTTGCAAACATATTTATAACTAAATATAATAGATATTTACAAGCCAAATAATAAAAATATTCGATAGGACAATTGTCAATATTAGTTTGCCCAGCTTATACTTAAAAAGTTGGCTTGAGAAAGATATTGGAGTATAAATTTAAAATAGGTTATTTAAATAAATGTCATTAACTGGAGCTGGGATTTGTGAAGCATTATTTAAAGATACAGTTTACCTCGTTATAACGGACCCCGTTATAGTGGATACTTCGTTATAACGGAGCAATTTTCTGAAACAATTTAAAATTTTTATTATTATAACGGACAGAATTTCTCAACCTGACCATTACGCTATAACGAGGGTAAACTGTATTTACTGAACTTATTTCGAAAATCGTACCACCTAAAATAACCCGAAATAACACGCATGTTTAAATCAATGTAAGTTACTGAATTAGCAACCACATAAATGTCTCTTAAGTCAGGCTTTATCTTGAAATAACACACATATACTCAAAGTAACGAAATTTTACAAATTTTTTAGGTTTTTAGGTTCAAAGTGAAGTGGTTGCTTATATTCGGGTTAAGAAAAACATTATTTACGTCCTTGACGAAGCACCAATCAAATTGCAAGATCTAATGCTTCGATTTAATTGGCTAGTTGATAACGTATTTCAATTATGAGCATACGAACATACAATTAATAATATTCGAATGCTTGGTTACCTTTTTAATTTTCTTATACAATAATTTAATAGTCTACACACACTACAGTAATTCTTTACAAATATACTGCTTTGACTTTTTGAACCTTAGCAATAATCAACTTTGTTATAAGAAGAAAAAGTATAAGTAAAAGTTTTTAATAAAAACACAACATTGATTTCTTTAAATTTTAATTATATAGAGGATAGTGATCCTAGTGTAGTAGTTGGGTTGTCATTCTCCAAGTGGTAGCAAATCTCACCTATGACAAAATTTGGAAATTAATTTGTGTTACAGTAACTGTTTTCTGTTTATTAGTTGGCCTTATATAATTGTAATTCAGATATACCAAGTTAGGTTTTACTTATTATTAGAAGCTTGGAGCATCTTTGTAAAGTGTAATGTTACATGTAATAGAAGAATGTTAATAATCAATGTTATATAAGCCTTCAATGCAAATTTATGATAAGATTATTGAGTATAGAAGATTAAAAATCAAAAAATCAAAAACCTATTTAGAAATTTCTAAATAAAAAGGTAATATAAGCTTTTAATAGTATTATTGAACTAGTTAAAACTCATGAATCACTACTAAAAGAACAGATTGGATAAGCTAAGTACAAATATAAATATAATCAATTAGGTTATCAAATTTATCAGAAAAAAAAAACACAAAAGTATACTATTTCAGGTCATCTGAATTAGTAATCTAATCAAAGTTTATTAGTTCTGAATAGCAGTTAATAAAAAATAACAAAGAAGGTATTAGAAAGATAGATATTAGAGTATTAGTAAACTTTATAAAAGTAGAAATAGTGTAATATAATAATTAAATAGCATGGTTGAAGTTTATTATTATTGGCTGCATGAAAGTGATCTGCTGATCCTGAAATTTTAAATTGTGATTGGCCCAGATAAATTCTATATAAAGTTATAAAAAAAAAATCAATTGCGTGATTGTTTTAAAATTCATAAAATTTATGTTTTGAGTTGTATCAATTTTTTCTGGGATCCAATTTTGTTTGATCAAGTTGCTGCAATCGATTTCATCATGATTAAGCTTCACCTTGTTAAGTTCCATCATAGCCAATTTTTGTTGTGATCAACCTTTGCCTTGTTCAAGTTTTGCCACAGTTGGTTTTGTAGGTTCAAGTTCTGTTATGCTGCAGTCTATTTTGCCGTGATCGGTTTCTGGTATCAAGATTTTACGTCAAGCTTTGCCGTAGTTAAGATAAAAAAAAAAAAACACATGCCTCAAAAAAATTTTGGTCTCTGCTCAATACACAATTGTGATAGACATTTAGAAAAGTTTTGCAAACTTACCCCTCTTGCATATAATAAGACTAAGGAAAAAGGAACTTTACAAAATTTTCAATATTTAACTATTGGTCAAGTACTCTGTTTTGCCCATTACTTGGATATTGTTGAAAGTGATCGAAATCAAAAAATAATAGAAAAAAGAAAAAAAAAAAAAATTTGGAATCTACTGGTTTAAATGGATATAATGAATTGAATTCAACCCAGGAAATCATAGAGATGGTCTTCCCTATAGAATATGAAAATCCAATCAGAAGTTTAGTACAAAATAAAGAAAATATTAATCCAACAAATATAACATTTTCTGATTAAATTAAAATACTTTCAAGTATTTTATACAAGCAATGAAAGGATAATGTAAATTTAGAATTGGACCTACTTTATTTTCAGCAAACAATTGAAAAAGCAGATTCTCGCTTATGTGGATTTTTTGATCAATTAACTGAAATTCTACTTTCAGACAATCTATTAGCTTATAATAAAAATGAAGCTAAAAAATCAGTTGTGGGCTTATGTCACATTATGGCTGGCATGAAAAATAAGTTGCAAATACATTTAAATTAGAAGTGGGTTTATTTCTTTCTGCCTCTGGCATATCAGCTTCAGCTATAAATGTAATGCATAGTATTGGAGTTTCGGCATGTTACAGGACTGTTTATGATTATAAAAAAAAAATTATTCATGAGCATTCTACAAAAATTCAAAAATTTTTCCTTGATAATGTATGTTGTAAAGTTAATAATTTATTTTAATTTAATAAATTGCATTTAAGCATATATTAATTTTTTTTTCTTTTTTATAAAAAGTTTAATGACTTTTTTGTTTATAATTTGGATGATTATCATGATATATATAAAAATAGAAGACTGAATTCAACAACTTTATCAAATATTAAGCATATGGCTACATGTGTTTGTAAGCATGTGCCAAATTGTGCACCCATTTCAATTATTTTTAATAATATTTCAGTTCACAATCCTTTGAATATTGATGCTTCAAATATTTGTTTCCATTTGATACATAATTATTATAGAATCTTTGATGTTTCTTATAATATATATAAAAGTCAATGGATATCAAATGGACAATTAAATTTTAATAATTTTAATATAATCGATTTACTTATGGTTCACTTTTATGATGATGCAATTGATGCACAGAAAGAGGAGTGCTCAATGAAAACAGTACATTTAGTTGAGCTGCAGGAAAAGAACTTACATTCCTTGGAGAACTATATTGAGGCACTTCAGTTAGTTTTTAATATTAATCATAATACTAAGCACTTGACTAACAGGATCGCACCTATTGTAATGGATTGGCCAGGCCAGTTATTTGTACGAAAAGAAATCACAAATTTTATTCTTAAAGAAAATAATTTAATTCCATCAAAAATTATTTCATTTGTTCCTATATTGGGTCCTCTTCATGTATCATTAAACATACGAGAGCATATTTTAATTGTATATTACTTTTTTTTTGAAAAAATGTTTCATTCTGTGTTCAGTAAAAAAAAAAAATTGGCAAAAAAGCCAAAACCGTGGTGAATTAATCTGCTTCTTGAATTAACTTATAGTGGATGGTGTTTAATTAGAAATGAAATTACAAAAAAATTTAGTTCTACATATAAAGATATTGAATACCGAATGATCATAGATTTATTAGACAATATAATTCCTACAGCACTTGACATTTATGCTATCCTTTTTCGTTCAGGTTCATTTGAAGAATATTTAGAATCAATTTTCGGGTTTGGACTTTTGCTTTGAGATAGCAAAGACATAACTATAATAAAGCTCCATTGGCATTCTTATTAGATATGTTTTATTGGCAAGATAATGGGCATCCTTTAGCAAAAGCAATTAAATTATTTCTAGTAAATTTTAATAACTATTTTATCGAGAATATGCATAGTAAGATACGGGCAAATACTTCACATAGTGTTACAGCAGAAAATATTATATATGAGGCTTATGCAATTGGTAAAATTGTAACAGTAATAGTTTAAAATATTAATTTAAAAATTTAAATTTTTTTTTTTTTTTAATAAATAAAAAAGATTCACAAAATGAAAATGAATTAAAAACCGCTTTTGCTAAAATGAAACAATATCCATATACAATATCGAATCTAAAGACCCTAAAAGAAAAAACAGCAATATTTCTTTTAGATTACTTTTTTAAAATATTTAAAAGTCAAGGAAAGAGTAAACTTTACAAAAAGCAAAAATATCTACTATATCATTTGGTTTCTTTAGATCAAGTTGTAGATGTAAAATGCTTACCTACAGGATTCAGTACAAGTTTTCTACCTTTTACAAATACTTGTGACTATTGCTATAACATACTGAATGAAGGAGAGGTTTTAACCTGTGGTCATGGATACCATTATAAATGTTATGATAAATTATATTACAGTTGCAACCATTGTAAAGAATATTATAAGAAAGGTATTAATTATAATGTAAAGATGTTCATTAAATGTTTAGAAAAAGGTTTGAATGTTCTTACTAATGAGAAACTACAAGACAAAGAAGAGTCCACCCCAACAGCAGATGATTCTGATGATCAAACAGAGCTAGAAAGCATTTCAGAAGTCCATAATAATTTTGTAAATGCACTTGAGGCAATGTCTTGCTAGTAATTTTACCTATAATAAACCTTTTTAAAACATGAGATCTATTGCGATCTACAACTTTTATATAAAAATAAAGTAAAAAAATACTCTACTAAGTTCATATTTTTTTATTTTAAAAAAGTTTTAGTTCATTAAATTGATGTGCAAACTTCGATTTTTTTTACCAAAAGTCCACTAATTAACCAATCAAAATTTAATATGATCATCTGATCAGTGTCTGATCAGATCAATTAAACAACCAATAATAATAAACTTCAATCATGCTTAATTAAATAGATAACTTTTATAACTTCAAGTATTAGATAACTATAACATATTGCATAAAATTAGATTAGCTATATATAAAATATAACAGATTTTAGTAAGTCTTTTGTTAAAAATAAATTAGTTCTAAAAATACTAATAAGTACAGTCAACCCTTGTTAATATTAACCTATTTGAATCAAGCTATTTGGTTGATATATATGGGAGTTGATAATAAAGAGAGACTATTTATTTATGTATTACAAAGCATTGACCAATAAGAGAGCATATTTTTAAAAACAAAGATAAGTATTACTGCAGTATTGCGATTCTCTTTTTCATTATAATTTTTTTTCTAATTGACTAATATTTTTTAAGATTTTTGAAGCATCTCAGATCTAATCCTGGGTTATATATTTAAACTATTATAAATTACTAAATGTGATTGTGAGTTTTGCAAAAGAGTGAAATTTTATAAATTATTTCTGATCTTAAACTTTGAATTCGAATTTTTATATTTTTTATTCAAAAGTAAGCTATTTATTATAAGTGCAAATTAGTATTTTTTTTTAGTTTTTTTTTTGAGTTGTTAATTTACTTTAAAAACATGAATTTTATAAAATTAAACAATATTACTATACCTTCTGTAAATTTGATAGTTATTTGATATGTATATATTTATCATTAATACATTCTCTTATACATGTTTGTAAATTATAAATAATAAACAAGATAACAATCATAGAAATAAAAATACTAAAAGCAAAAAAAACAAAACAGCAAGACAGTATCATGATTTAATTTTCTTTGTATATTTGCTTTTTTTAAAATATAAAATATAAACTAACTTTTTATTCTTAATTATTTCTAATAGTAAATTTTTAAAAAAAATTAGTTTTTTTTTTTTTAATCTTTGGTAGTCTTGCCAATTATCTTTATTTTATTTTTTTTTATTTTTTTTGCTAAGGCTATACTTGTAGCAATACTTTATTGACTTTATATCGGATTAGTTATTACAACTATTTTTACAGAGATGAGAGTACAGCTAGTCACGCATGCAACTTTTGGTTGCCTATTTAAGTAGTCCACCCTAAGGTTCTACACTAGATGCCATACCTATAACCTACTAGGAGATTATCCATTTAAACTCTCTAATCAGCTGTCCTGTCATATTGGAATCCCCAAACTAACTCTTCATATATACCTACCCAGTAAATTGTCTGAGTAATATAGTACCTACTCTTTTTGTACTGGTTCCCAGGCTGTTACACATTTCAGAATATGTCACCTGCCAGTAAGATGCAGGGAGCCTCCTGTTGTTAACTATCTATTCACTTTTAGAACACTAATATGGGCCACCCTTACAAAGTTCATCCAGATCCCAGTACTGACTTCACAGCATATCTCTAGTACTTTTAGTATACACCTGCTTTGAACCCAGACTTCCAATCCAGATAGCCCAGAAGGACTGTGATCTGTCCTTGGTATATTGAGGCCAGCCTAATATCTTTTTTTTTCAGTCCGAAATCCAGTGGCCTGATTGGTGGTACCCTTTAACTGAGGTTCTTGCCTGCCCGAATCCTTCACATTGATATCCATTTTCTAGGTCTAGCCTTTACAGTAGTATTGTCGATGATTCATATTACCTCTTTGCTCAGAATTTCCAAGTGGGCTCCAGCTTCCCAGTTCTACGGATTTATATGGCCAAAGGACTTATTTTAGGTTTGCACTACCCAGTACCAGTTTGCATTCCTCTGTGTAACAGGTTACACAGATGCCCCAGACCTGCTAGTCATACTGGTGCGACTATAGTTACAGATATCCTATTTCAACTGATCAACAGAATGCTGTTACTATAATACCATTTATATATTATATAGGTGATTATCTAAATTTTGTTGTCGATGAGTTTTGAACATACAACTTACCACTTGGAGGTATGACAACTTATCCACTTCACTAAGTTGCCACACCCTTAATCATCTTTATTAAGAGTCTTATATACATAATTTGTATAAAGTTGGCTTAAATTCTGGCTCGACATCCCCTGGCTGCTTCTATGAATGCCTAGAAGTAGTTTGTCACACTGGCCAGACAGTAGTCTAACCAGAGGCTATACCAAGCTAGTTATTAAAACTATAAAAAAATAGTCTTATTTTCTTTTTTATATAATCTCTAACTGAACTGAACCAAGAACTTTGTATTTTTTCTTTTTTTTTTCTTTTATAACTTGGTCTTGGTTCTTTTCTAAAACTCTATTATCCATCTCTTTTATTATATTTTTTACTGTATCACTTCTTGGATTGTTATCTTTCTTTTTTTTGTCTGCAGAGATAATTCTATTTGTCTTTTCTTATTTAATAACTGCTTCATAGTATTTTTTCTATATATTTTCAAAAAAACCATTCCATGCTGCATTTGTTCATATTGTTATAAACTCTTTAGCTTCTTTGAGAGTTTGGGTAAGACTTTGTATTGTTATTTTCATTTTTTCTTGGACTAGCCCTTTTATGCTTTTGGATCTAAATTCTTTTTTTTCTTCTGCTAAATCATCCTATAAGATTTTTGTTAGTTTTAATTTGCTTGTTTTTGTCTGAGTTTCTTCTGAGAGAACTGTCCAAGCCAAATTAATAGCTAAGTTTTTTGTAATGGCCCAACCATTTTTATGGCCTTTACATATACCTAAGTGTTCTTGGTCTTCTTCTTGGTCTTTATTACAAAGAATGCAATATAGCATTTTATATATATTAGGATGTTTTTTCACTAAAGTTTTTAGTACTAGTAGTTTTTCATTAACATATTTGATTAGAGTTGTGATTTTTCTATTCTTTTTTATATTTGTACATCTAATTTCGCTATGACTTCTAACTTTTTTCCATAGTAGTGACCAGTCATATTTTTTTTTTCTTTATTTAGTTCTAATTTTTGAACAGTTAATGTAAATCGCTATTCTGAGCCAACCTTAAAATCTAAAATATCTTTAACAAATTGTCTTGTTGGCCCTTTTACAATTGTTTCTTTTTAGCAAAGTAATACATTTGAACTAGGTGGTAGTATTACTATAATCTTATCTCTATTTTCTATACTACTTTCCTCTTTTGTTATTTTATCTACTCTAGTATTCCATTTGTTATCACTATGTTCCTTCACTTTAACTAATTCTAATTCTATCTCCTTTACTTTGAGTAGCTCTATTATACTTTTTTTCAAGTTGTAGTTCTTTTCTTTGATTCATTGTCTGCATCTTTTTAGCTTTTTTCCTCTTTTAAGACCTGATATTGCTGCAGCACTATCTATATAGATCTTAATTCTTCTTTTTTTTAGTGTTATTAGAATTACTAACCAAATTGCAAGTAGTTCTAATTTTGTTGATAAGGGCTAATTTTGGGTGCCTATAGCACCTTCATTAATTACTTTTTTTTCTTTTGTATCTACTTGTATCTAGCCTGCTTCCATATGGTTGATATTTGAAGCATTATTTGTTGCTGCTTTCTTAAGCGAACCATCAGTATAAAAGATAAGTTCATTATCTGTATTTAATTGTTTTTTTTTAGTTCTTAAAGATAAGAAGTTCTTTTATATCTTTGCTTAGACATTGTTTTTTGATCAATTCTATGTCCAAATCATAACATATTATATCTTGAAACTATGCTTCTGATTTATCTATTTTATTCTGCTTTCTTGTTGCTAGCCGTATATCATTTCTTTGTCTATTATAAGTTGTGGTTCTTCATCTTTTCTGATAAATCTTGATAGTAAATCTTGAACTTCTTCTCTGTAACTCTATTTTTTACAACTTTTAAGTTCTTCTATATGATCAAGATTATATCTTTTACATTTTTTAAGAACTTGGTTTATTTTGCTTTCAACCAATTTGATGAAAAAAAAAAAAATTAGTTACTTTCTTTTGTTCTTTTGATTCAAATACATTCAAATGAATTCATCTCAACAAACTTTATAATTGTAGTAAATCTTGATCCTGTACAAACTTTCATAGTTCTTGTTGTTCTATATACTGAATTAATGAACTGCATTTTTCTAAAGCAGCTGAATAAGTAATTTTTTTAATTTTAATATTACTTTTGTTATCACTACTACTGGAATTGGACTGATGAAGAACCTCATTAATAATAGCAAGTTTGTCTAGAACAGTCTCTTCAACTTTAAGATTATTATCAATATAGATATAATCATTAGCAGATATAATACATATATAATTGGAAAGGATCTTGAAAATAAGATTTTTAACTTTAGCTTCAATATCATCTTTAATATCATCTTTAGCTTCAACATCAACTTCAATATTAGCTTTTAATTCAGCTTCAACTTCAGTTTCGACTTTAATATTGACATTCTAATTTAAATTATTTCACTTGTTTGATGACACTATTTTGGTCTTTTTCTAGCAATTAATGATTATTTGAGGCATTACATTATTCTATGCTTCTGTAATAAATCTGATTATATAATAAAAGTTGAAAAACTTTTTAATTGATTAATTATTAATTTGTTATTTTTATTTTTTTAATTTTAATTTTTAATTTTTAATTTAATTTTAATTTAATTTAATTTATTTTTATTTTTTTTTTTTATCTTTTCTAAAATTTTATTTTTTTATTTATTTTTTATTTTTTATTTTTTTTTATTTTTTTTTTATTACAGTACCTGATTGCATCTAATATATTAATATGAGGTATTTCCCTATTAGTATTAATTGCATTTACAAAATTTTGGAGATATAGTTTTCAATAATAAGCTTTAAACGAATAGATTATTCTGACATCACATAGTTGCAAATAAGGTGTAGTATTGGGTAGCAAAAAATGGAGTGTAATGTAAGTAAGTTCACATTTTGAATAAGATGTAGCACTATCAATTAATAAAAGAATTTTTTTGTTTTTAGTTCTATATATAGTATTCACAGATTTTATCCATTTTTCAAAAATTACTTCTGTCATTCATGCTTTTTGACTGGCATCATAGTTGATACCAAGATTTTCTCTTTAAATACCTCTGAAACAATGTGGATTTGTTGATTTTCTAATAACTAATGGCTTAAGCTTATCCATTTCAGTTACATTCATACAAAGAAGAACAGTTATTCTTTATTTATTTATTTTTTTTCTTTAACTGCTTTTGTTGCAAGCATTTGATCAGGCATCATTCTATAATAGAGACTAGTTTTATCAGTATTATAAACATTCTTGGATTTATATTGTAAAAGTAATTCAACCAACTTTTGTCTTTGGTTAGCAAAGTTCTCAGTAGGCACACTTTCTGATTCTTCATGAATCTTAAATTTTTGAATTTCATTCCATTTTTTGAACCTATCTACCCATTCTTGACTTGCCTTAAAATCAACTTCTGATATATTTAATAACTCTGCAAATTTTTTAGCTTGAACTTGTAAAAGTCCATCTGTTAATATACCATTTTGTGAAAGAATCTATTGAGTTCAAATAACTATAGCACTTTCTAATTCTGCAAATTTTGCTGGCTGATTGACCTTTTTTTTTCTTCAAATTTCATTAGTTGAATAGATAACTATTTATCTTTTCCTTTAGGATTTTTGAAATTATGCTTTAGTCACAGCTATATTCTGCAGCAAGTTGATCGATAGTAAGGGATGAAACATCATGTTTTCGGTAACATATTTCTTGTTTTGTTTTTTTTTTTTTATTTTTTATAAACTTTGGCAGCCTTGCCAATATCCTTTATTAAGAGAATTGCATGTTTAATTATACAAATATTAGCTTAATTTCTAGGTTTGACATCCCCCAGCTACTGTACTAGTGCCCAGAGGTGGCCTGCCGCACTAGCATAAGTTGTTACTTTTTGCTAAAAGGCTATCTAGGCTAGCCTTTGAGGCCATTTCAGTAAGGTCTTCTTGTTTTGTTTTAACTGACATGGTTATTCTTTTTTTTCATAGTTGTTCTAATTCTTTATTTATTTTATTTTAGTTTTATTTATTATTTTTTTTTTTTTATTTGATGTTTTTATATAACATAATTTGGGCGAGTATAATTTTTTGTTTTCTGGTTATTTAAAAAAAATTCATTTTATTTATTTATTTGTTAAATTTTTTTTTTAAAAGACTTATATATGAACTTGAATTATAAATAAGTTAAAAGTATGAAAGGTACAGATGCTACTAATTAAAAATATAGGTTTTTATATATTTACTTCATGTTTATTACAACAATAATACCTTTTTTTACTGTATTTTATTTTTTGCTTTTATATGTTTATATATAGCAAAAATTCTTGAAAAGGAACTATAGTCAGCTCTTTTTAGATACAGCTTCTTTAAATGCAATCTCTCTGAATGCAGCCTTTGATTTTTGTTCAAATATATTTTTATTTAGATACAAATTGTCAAAAGACTGAGTTCTAGTAAGTTGCATTTAAAAAGGCTTAACTATACTAGCCAATATATAGTATTTTTTTGGTTTTTTGCTACTAAATATTTCTTTAAATCAATGCACTTATTTTTATTTTGCATTATATATTATTAATATATTTTATTATTGTTATATGATTAACTTTTTAGGTAACTTTATAGCTTTTAATCATGAATAAAGATATGAAAAGTCTAGTTTGAGTCTGACTTTACTCCAAAAGTCAAGTTTTTGTTAATGTTCAGTCTCAAGCCAGACTTGGGATTTTGACTTGCATCTGCATATGCATTTAGTATATTTAGATATAGCATCAAAAATACAAGTGTGGAGGTGAGTTGAAGTCCCAAATCTAACTTGGGATAAATATTGACAAAGATATGACTTTTGAAGCTAAATCATTATCAGACTAAACTTTTCACATTCTTAATTATGAAATGTAATATTAAAAGAATAAAATGCATGCAGATAGGCATGCATAGAACTTGACTTAAAATTAGAGCTGTGAGTAATTTTTTTATTTTATTTGATTTTTTTATTGTTCTGATTATTAATATGCTGTAGATATGATAACAATATATGCACAATTTTAGAAAATTAATTTATAAATAATTCATTTTATAAACAATTTATTTCACTGATAGCTTATTTTATAGATGCTTATTTTACTAACAGTTCAATTCATTAACAAACAAAGTAATCATTATTGTTAAGGTTAAGACAATATTCATTCTAAAATTTTTAAATAAATCACATTAAATAATGTTAAACACTGCATATTTTATAAAAAAACTGCATGATTCACATATTTATAGCAACAAGTTGTATTGAAACTGAGTAGTAAAAACAGCATTCGAAACATTTATTTATGTATAAATGCAATTTTTTTGTTAAGCAAAAGTAAGCAGAATTAAGGCAAGTATGGTTAAAACTTTAATTACATTATTTGCAGTGATTTAGATATAAAATGCTATTTAATATAACATAGTAGGCTTTGGCTAATTTTTGTAGATCATTTAATGACAATACAATACAAAATCTGCTTAGCTAATTGAAACAAGTTCAAAATAAAAAAAAAGGAAATTATTAAACAAAAAAATAAATTTAAACTGTAAATTCGAATTTATAATAACAATTTTTAATATATTGACCCTAATAGTCATTGTCAAATATATATTTAAGTAAGTTTAATAAAAAAACAATATCTTTAAACCAATAATTTCTTAAATATATACTATATATAAATAATCTTTATTAACCAAATCACTTACTAATTATATGTAGTTTAATAATAAATAAATTAAAAAAAAAACTGTTAACTATCAATAAAGTAATACATGCATATGGAAAGTATGAACAGTATAAAAAACTAAATATTAACAATAGAACATTATCTATCAAACATAGCTATAATTATACATATCCTTTACATACTCTATATCTATTATATTGTAATCTTTAAAAACTTAATCAAGTTACCTATATTCAAAAAAAATATTAAAAAAAACGAACTGTAAGTATTACTGTTTAAATTGCTGTTTAAGCTTTTTTTAAAAAAGCTTAACACTTATTAGTCAAGATATGAATTACCTTGCCAAATGCTAATTATCATAATCTATAAGACAAAAAGTGCACCTTATCACTAACTTCTGGATTATTTCTTCATTCTTCAGATTATTTTTCTATAGATAGAATAAAAGATGTTAGTTTCAAAATTTATATGTCATATCTTTTGACAATTCATTTTCAATTTGTTTAAAGTCAGATGATATATGTGATGTTTGATATATACACTATACTTATATCACATGCTTTTTTATTCAATTCTTATTGGTTAAGTATATCAACGAGAGAATATTAATTATATAAAAAAATTTTTTATGTGATAGAGATATTAACAAAAGATCATAATAAAGTTGATATATATAAAGGAATTTTTATATATAGAAATTTATCATATAGATAGTATTAATATTAATAGAAGATTGATATTAACAAGGTTGATATTAACAGGGTTGACTGTATTAGAAACTTGGATAAGCTGTATTCTGAAGATATTCTTATGATACAAAAGAATTATATATGCAGAAGGTTTAAATAAACAAGACCTGTAATTGGCTTGCAAATATGATATCTAATATAAAACCTGTATAGTAATATATAAACAAACTACTTAAATTAGATATTAAAAATGAATATGTAATTAGTTGTAATCTTCAATATAAGAAAGCTTATAGAAACACTTGTATCTAACAAAAACTTAAATAAAAATATTATACTTCAAAGATAAGGATTTTAATTTAAAAAAGACATTTTAATTATATTATTATATATTATTTTTTAAAATAAAAAGAGTAAGGGTGTAGTGACCTAGTGAAGTGGTCAGGTTGTCAACTCTCTAAGTAGTAGGTTGGGTGTTCAAATCCCATCGATGACAAAAATTTGGATAATCATCCATGTAATATTTGTATTATAGTAACTGTTACTAATGATTGAGATAGGATACCTGTAATGGCAGTCACACCAGCATGACTAGTAGGTCATGGGGCATTTGTATAACAGGTTACATAACATTGTTCTTTGGAACAAGAGTGTGGTTATATGAAGGAATACAAACCAGCAATTAAGCAATACCAACACTAGATAAGTTCTTGTGGCCATGTAAATCTGTTGAAATTAGATAACAAGTCTATTTGGAAAGACCCGAGTAGAGAGATAGCCAGTCTTCGATAGTCCTATTGTAAAGGCTAGTCTTATGAAACAGATACCAAAGTCGAAGTAGCCAGATGGGCAAAAACCTCTAGATGGAGGGTACCACCAATCAGGCCACCAGATTGAACCAGAGAAAAAGGATATCGAGCTAATCTGAAATACTAATAAACCAATCGAAAGTCTTACGAGCTATCTGAATTAGAAGTTTAGTGAACTGGCAAGGGTATACTAAAGTATTTCAGATATGCTATGAAGTAGATGCTGGGGTTTGTGTGAACTCTACAAGGGCATAGTGGTTTAATGATCAGCCCTGACCACAAGTATTAGTTCTGCTATAGCAATATCTAGGTCAGCTATAAAAATAGATACAGAAGGCTTTGGAGGTTTACCTCAAGGTAAATTAGTCCTAAGGTTGAGATGATGATCTGGGCATCTGGGATAACCCAGTAATGTTAATACAGGTTACAGGTTCAGAGAGTTTAAAGTAGAACATTCAAGCAGAGGTGTTAGATACAGCAATTGGTGAGAAACCTTCAGATGGACTCCTTAAATAGGTAATATAGAAAAGTTATACATGTAGCTAATTGTATGCTCTTCTGTAGTAGTTCATTAAACCACAATACCGATAAGTGATTAATAAAAGTTAAAAGACCAAAAAGGTCACCTTAATACCAAAAAAAAAATAAAATAAAAAGAGTCTTTGTTAAAAAAAAGTTTATTAATCTTATACTATTTAAGAAAAAATTTATATTGTTTAATATATATTTAAGACAAATATTATTACAATTATAACAAAATTTAAAATAAATAAGTTTTAAATTAATTATTAGATATTATAGTTAAATAATAAATTAGATATAATTGAATACAATAAAATATACTAACTTGAAAATAATAAAAAGAGTTTTTTCTTAAAAAAGAAACACAACTTTATAGTTAGATAATTGGAATATATAATATAATACTTGTTATTCCTTAAACTATAGATCATTTCTAGGCAAATTTGTCTGAAAAATTAACAAAAATATACTTATGATCTATATTTTTTAAATTTTAAAATATTTAAATGAAATTTTGCTTGATAATATTTAAAAATAAGAGTACACTCTTACAGCTGATCACTTATACACAAAATCTGTAAAAAAAACATTTAGAAGTTTACCAAAAATGGCTGTCTAAACTAACTTCATAGGTCTAAGAAAAAAGATAGAGCTTGCAAAGAAGGTATAGCAAAAGTAATAAGAAGGAAATAAATAGTTTAGTTAAAGCTACAAAGAGAAAAATGCCTTGATTGGCACTTTGAAAAGTAAAATTTTGGGGAACTCTCTGAAACCTGGAAATGTAGATCTGTAAATTACAGCAATATGTAAATAAACAACAAAACAAACATATACATCAACGAACACACAAACAGGCCCAATTTGAATTGTGATAGACAAAAGCATAGAAAGTTCCAAAACAACAAGTAACAAACAGAAAATACAAAGAATTAGACTAAATATTAACAATGCACAAATTCTGAAACAAAGCCTAATGTTAATCTATATCAAAAGAGCATACTGGGCAGCAAATAGCATACACAATAAAGTGTTTTTTAACCAAGCAGGCAACAGATATATGACACCAGACAGAGAAGATGAAGTTGTAGCAATGCTAACAGAACAGAACCCAGTAGAGGTTGCATTGCTATATATAATTAGAGAAATAATCAAGAGGGCAGAAGAAGAACAGCCAGATAAAAAGATCAATATCACCAAACAGAACAAAAACATTATAATAATAGAGCCGAAAATGGGGTAAATGCAAAATAAAAAAAAAGAGGTACAACAATGCTTAACCAAAACACATATTCAAAAAGAACTACATGAAGTAGAACAAGAGAAAGAGATGAAAATCGAAAAGGCAAGTGAAAAGGAAGTGCAAGACAAGACTGAAAACTCACAAAAAGAAATAAGTATAAAGATAAGTCAAGCAAATATTAATTAGGTAAATGAATATTTGTCTATACAAAAAAGAAATGAAGAAGAACAAAGAGAAAACCAAGATCAAGAAAATACTGAAATAGAAATTGAAAGAAAAATTGATATAGTTGGAGAACCTCTAAAGAAAAGCATATAGGCTTCAAGAAGAAGAGGCTGTAACTAAAATAACAGTCTACTTGCTAACATACTAGCATACAATGTACCAGAAAAGACAAAAGAAGAGTGAATGAAGTTTATCAAATAGTTATTAAGAAACAATGCATACATTAAAGATGTTAGAGAAATCTTCAAAAGAGGTAACCTATAGATAGAAGTGAATTTCAATTGCAAGTATGGCAGAAGAGAAGCAATACAAAGAATCAGCAAAAAGAAAAATGACTAGTACAAAATGATACCAGAAGAGAAAGAGGAAG